GAGAGTTGGAGGAACGGGACGGACAGGTGAATAAACAAGCTAACCAGGTGGGTAGGTGAACGAAAATGGAAATCCACAGCACAGGAACTGTCAGCGCGGATAACAAAAAGAACATCTAGCTAACCACATGGAAAAAAAAACAAACTCAGAGATCCACAGCACAGGAACAGCCAGCGTGGACGTATAACACTAATCACATAACCAACGTACAAAATGAGATCCACAGCACAGGAACTGTCAGCGTGGTAAACAAAATGACGTGTATTACATACCACAAAACTATGTCTGTTACGGGGTATACAAGTTAGGTAAGGTAATGCAAGTTCAGTTATTTAGGTAAGTAACATAATTTAGGTATGCTATTGCTCCGGCGACGACGGGAATAAGTAAGGAGGCAGGTAATCATTGGGATGCACCCCAGCTGTGCGCACCGACAAACGAGTTGCTAATTACTGAATGCGGCACAGCTAAGGTGCAAATCCCGCAGGATTGAGAGAGCAGAGAAGAGAAAGGCGGAAGAGAGGCAGGTCACGCCGAGTGGACCTGACAGCCTTCTGTCCAATTCCCTGACATGGGAAGCCCTAATGAAATCCAATAATACTTTTAGAAATCCTATAATAAAATCTTCCATTGTAGGAAAGTAATGCAAATATGCAAAGTCTTTTGATGAATATAGGGTTTGGATTCTTTGATCTAGGAGGGGTGTAAGGTGTCAAATGTGGGTGGGACTTAGAGTCAGGCTCATCAGGGCCATAAATCAATTGACTTGTGTGCTTTATTACTCTGTTATACCTGGCACATTACTCAACAATATTTCCTGTACTTTTATTTTTACACTTATTTCTAATATTTTTTTCACTTGGTATTTTAGGCAGTACGGTGGCGTGGTGGTTAGCGCTGTTGCCTAACAGTGAGACGGTTCCGGGTTTGAGCCCCGGCCGATCCGGGGCCTTTCTGTGCGGAGTTTGCATGTTCTCCCCGTGCTTGTGTGGGTTCTCTCTGGGTGCTCCGGCTTCCTCCCACGGTCCAAAGACATGCAGTATAGGTTGATTGGTGTCTCTAAATTGCCCGTAGGAGTGATTGTGTGTGAGTGGTTGTTCGTCTGTGTTAGCCCTGCAATGGACTGGCAACCTGTCCAGGGTGTACCCCGCAGCTGGCTGGGATTGGCTCCAGCCCCCCATGACCCTGTTTGGGACTAAGCGGTTTAGAAAATGGATGAATGGACTTGGTATTTTAGTCTTACACATTTATACTTTTTTTTTTTAACTTTGAGTGCTATGATTTAGGTAGTCATTGTTGTTGCTACTAGATACCTGTATTTCCCTCACGATCAATAAAGTATTTATTTAAGTACATTGACTCAAGTACTGTACTTAAGCACAATTTCATTTTCTGTTACTTCATACTTGGACTTCACTTCATTTTAGAGGTAAATATTGTACTTTTTTACTTCACTACATTTATTTTATAACTTTAGTTACCCTTTACTTTTCAGAACCAGATTAATACAAAAAATAGAGTATAATCATAAGACCTCATTGATCTGCGGTGGAAAATTCATTAGCTACCCAGCACTTAAATTAAATTGATATAGTCTAATTAATGGGGGCAACTGTGGTTCAGTGGGTAGAGCAGTCGTTTCCCAACCAGAGGGTCAGAGGTTCAGATCTCGGTGCCTGCAGTCCACACATCAAAGTGTCCATGGGCAAGACACTGAACCCCCCGAGTTGTCCCCGATGGTTAGAGCCATCGGTGTGAGTTGGCACCACAGATGGCTGCCTCGGTTCTGTACCAGAAATAAATTACTTGTGTGTAACATACTTGGCCAAATAAAGGTGATTATTATTATTATCCTTAAAACTAGCTCCTCCTTTACCAACTACAGCATTAAATGTGATGTACACAATAATACATCAGTAATACAGAAATGTGAAATGTACAATTTTGCATAATGAGAACATTTATTTTTAGTACTTTAAGTATGTTTTGATGCTAAAACTTTTGTACTTTAACATAAGTAACATTTTTAATGCAAGACTTTTACTAGTAACAAAGTATATTTTACACTGCTGTATTGCTACTTTTACTTAAGTAAAAGCTCTGATTACTTCTTCCAACAACTGTGCAGCTGAATCCCTTGTAAGAAAGGAAAGTTACTTTCAGCTTTTCCCATTTAGGGGTTGCCACAGCAAATCGTCACACTGACAACTCGCATGTTGACATTTGGCACATGTTTTACGCCGGATGCCCTTCCTGATGCAACCCTGATTTGAACCCGGGTCGCAGCGGCGAGAGCGCTGCACCTTAACCACTAGCCTACCAGGGACAGCTGAATCTCTTGTGCTTACTGTTTTTTTACCCAGACTTATTCTCAAATCACCCCTTGTGTTTTCTGATTAGCACTATGTGTAAGACTAGGTTAATTTTAGTCACAAAAACTGCATTTAGGCAAAAGATTTTGGTGATGGCTAAAACAGTATACATTACATCCACCTTTTCTTCCTAGACATAACTGCTGAATGTATACCCACAAGTGTTCCTTGTCAAGTAAATGTAAATCATAGATGTTTGAAGTGTTCAAGAAAACAGTGCAGTTTTTTTCTGGAAAGGATAGTCTCTGGTCTAAAATTTTGACATCTATCTCAGGTGAATGACAATATAATTTTATAGTTTAACTGACAACTTATAAGGCTTCAAACACAATTTCAAATAGTTTGCATTTCTCAGAATGTGATTTTGTAGCACATATCCATGTAGTCCTCATGAAAACGGAAACAGTGTGACTATGTGGAGCTTTTCACATGATGTGATGAAAGGTAAATCTAAACTGAGATAATTACTAAAGGTAAGGTCAGATGGACCAATGATTCTGATTTTCAGTTAACTGGGAGCCAAACTTGAATTAATAACTCATCCCCAAACTGCTCACTAAAAGTCCATTTATTCCAACAGGGCCTAAGCAGCCTGCACATTTTAATTAAAGCAGGCTATAACAACAAGCTATAAATTCACTCATGCTGCTGTGCTACAGCTGAACAGTTATCTTTCTCTTTGCCTGTTTTCCTCTCTGTGTATGTGCATATGTATACAGAGAGATAAAATAAGTAGCTAGTTATCTGCAGTATGTGTGTGTCTGTTCCGCCCACAGGTGGAAAAAGGTTTTGTTAAAATCAGAACTCAGCAGTCTATGTGCACAAAATAAATCCAACTGCCTTTGATCATGTTGCTGCAGTGCAGTGAAATAACACAAGGAAGCTCCTCTCACCATCCAGCTGGAATAAATGGAGGTGTAGCTGTACAATACAGAGCAAAAACAGTATAGTATATTACTGAAATCAGCCAGAGCAGAGCCATCTTTGTTGTTTTTTATTTCACATTTCTGTAACTCCATTGTTAGGACAACAATAAAGACTTTTGAGTGATGGGGTCATTACATGTTGTGCCTTGGCCACACCTTGACAGTACATAGCCCTCATGCTTAGTAAATCTGCAGGGTTCACAAAACTAGCTGGGAGTCATCCTCTGATTATTTTAGCCCACTATCAGTGGAGGCTGAAGTCACTTTGGTTCTCTTGTGCTTACTGTTTTTTTACCCAGACTTATTCTCAAATCACCCCTTGTGTTTTCTGATTAGCACTATGTGTAAGACTAGGTTAATTTTAGTCACAAAAACTGCATTTAGGCAAAAGATTTTGGTGATGGCTAAAACAGTATACATTACATCCACCTTTTCTTCCTAGACATAACTGCTGAATGTATACCCACAAGTGTTCCTTGTCAAGTAAATGTAAATCATAGATGTTTGAAGTGTTCAAGAAAACAGTGCAGTTTTTTTCTGGAAAGGATAGTCTCTGGTCTAAAATTTTGACATCTATCTCAGGTGAATGACAATATAATTTTATAGTTTAACTGACAACTTATAAGGCTTCAAACACAATTTCAAATAGTTTGCATTTCTCAGAATGTGATTTTGTAGCACATATCCATGTAGTCCTCATGAAAACGGAAACAGTGTGACTATGTGGAGCTTTTCACATGATGTGATGAAAGGTAAATCTAAACTGAGATAATTACTAAAGGTAAGGTCAGATGGACCAATGATTCTGATTTTCAGTTAACTGGGAGCCAAACTTGAATTAATAACTCATCCCCAAACTGCTCACTAAAAGTCCATTTATTCCAACAGGGCCTAAGCAGCCTGCACATTTTAATTAAAGCAGGCTATAACAACAAGCTATAAATTCACTCATGCTGCTGTGCTACAGCTGAACAGTTATCTTTCTCTTTGCCTGTTTTCCTCTCTGTGTATGTGCATATGTATACAGAGAGATAAAATAAGTAGCTAGTTATCTGCAGTATGTGTGTGTCTGTTCCGCCCACAGGTGGAAAAAGGTTTTGTTAAAATCAGAACTCAGCAGTCTATGTGCACAAAATAAATCCAACTGCCTTTGATCATGTTGCTGCAGTGCAGTGAAATAACACAAGGAAGCTCCTCTCACCATCCAGCTGGAATAAATGGAGGTGTAGCTGTACAATACAGAGCAAAAACAGTATAGTATATTACTGAAATCAGCCAGAGCAGAGCCATCTTTGTTGTTTTTTATTTCACATTTCTGTAACTCCATTGTTAGGACAACAATAAAGACTTTTGAGTGATGGGGTCATTACATGTTGTGCCTTGGCCACACCTTGACAGTACATAGCCCTCATGCTTAGTAAATCTGCAGGGTTCACAAAACTAGCTGGGAGTCATCCTCTGATTATTTTAGCCCACTATCAGTGGAGGCTGAAGTCACTTTGGTTCTTTAGCTTCTACGGTACAGTACATATTCAAAGAACCTTTGATATTTACCATGTGCAGCATTGTACAAGTGAATTTTCTGACAGTGGGCCACAAACTGTTTTCCATTCTCTGGAAAGTTTTATTTAAAATTGGGATCATGTAGTATTACTATATGTTGAAGAAAAATACTGTAAATGACTGAATACTGTGTACATACATCAGCTCCTGCAGTCTGGTAACCTCTGGTTCTGGTCAGTCGGCCCTCATACTTCAGAACAATCTCTCTGGCCTGTCTGGGAAACAAACATACACAGGTGGAGGCTCACTAAGTACTTTACTCTCATACTGGACTGTGGTTTACACACATTTCTATTTGTTTTGCTGAGTTACACTTCTACTTCTATTATACTAAACCTCTGAGCCATATTATGGCTGTGATGATCAATTTTCATAAAGACATTTTTTAAATTAATGTTGAGTGGTGGTCATTATGCTGTATACTGTACTATGACCTTAAAATTCTTTTTTTTATTGCCACACAAAATAACACATTTACAGGACAAAGCACATAACATAGTTCATGAGACAACAGACATTTGCAAAAGAGGCAAAGGGATTATTAATTTAGGGTATTAAGTTGTGTGTGTGAAAGTGTGTAGTGTGTGTGTATCCAACTCTATGCAGACTGATATTCATTACTTAAGGGAAAATAGAATTAAACCAAATAAATTAGGAAAATGGAGGGGTATAAATGTAAAGGAATGAAAAGGCAGTTTGATAAAAATGAATGATTGTAGTGTTAGGTATTTTTAGTCAGATAGATATTGGATAGACATCTGCCTGTGTGCAGTTTGGAGGTGCAAGATACCTGAGCGTGTAATGTTAATTTTACCTGTGATCCTGAATAAATCAGCACTGTTTTGAAGTTACTTGGACTGCCTTGTCTCTCAGAGTTAGCAATGTTAACAAGAACTGAGACCCACAGTAGTAATAAATTTTAAATTAATGTTGAGCTGTGGTCATTATGCTGTATACTGTACTATGACCTTAACATTCTTTAAATCATAGTGCCAATAAGTACCATCACTTGACTTTTATAAAGTCCTGTTTCCACCAAAGGAATTTTTCCAGGGGAACAGGAATCTTTTGTTCCTCTACCTGTGTTTCCACTGGAGGAGGTCCAGGGTCTGAATTTAGTTCTGGTTCATAGTTCCAGCTCCAAGAAAAGCCCCTAGTTGAGGTGTAGTACATTCTCAGGTTCAAGAACTACTAGGGGGAAGCCTCCAGTGTTGAATATCACTGATAAAATACTGTGCAGCATCTTTCAATTCTTGAGGAACTATAGAAGAAAAGTTTAGGTTTACAGCAACTGAACCCTAATATAGCTGAATAAAACAAACATATTTCAGAACTTCAATCACATAGTGTCCTGCTAGTTGAAACATCTTTTCATCATCAACATCAATCATCAAGCTTTTTACATATTTATTGACTTCAGTTTGGCATTTAACACTAATCCCATAAAAACTGGCACTGAAACTGCACAACCTGGGAATGCCTGCAATGATGTGTTATTGGATTAAAGACTTTCTCACTAACAGGCCTCAAGTGGTGAGAATCGGAAGCTGCACATCATCCACACTGGTCCTGAACACAGGCACACCACAGGGCCGTATGCTCAGCCCAGTTCTGTTCACTCTGTTTACCCATGACTGTGATGCCATTCACTCCACAAACAACTGTGAAGTTCGCAGACAACACCACTGTAGTGGGTCTCATCTCAGACAATGATGAGACTCACTACAGAAAGGAGATCCATCACCTGACAAGGTGGTGTTCAGATAACAATCTTGTCCTGAACACCAACAAGACTAAGGAGGTCATTGTGGATTATAGGCGGTCCAGGAAGACAAAACATGCTCCTCTTCTCAAACACAAGGAGGTGATGGAGCAAGTGGATAACATCAAGTTCCTGGGCATCCACATCACATCTGACCTGACCTGGTCTCTGAACAAATCCTACCTGGTGAAGAAAGCCCAATAAAGGCTTTTCTTCTTTAAGAAGATGAAACGTGCTGGTCTCTCCTCTCTGCTGCTTGCAAACCTCTACAGAGTGACAGTAGAGAGCATCCTCTGTCTCAGTGTGACTGTGGTAAGGGAGCTGCACTGCACACGACAGAAAGGACTTGACCCGGGTGCTGAGAACAGCTCAGGGCATTGTAGGGAGTCCTCTTCTGGATCTGGATGCAGCCACGCATGCAACTCCTCAGACCTGTCTTGTGTGCAGTTCTTCCGCAACAGTGGTGCAATGGGTAGAGTAGTTGTCTCCCAACCAGAAGGTTGAAGGTTCGAATTTTGGTGCCGGCAGTCCACGTGTCGAAGTGTCCTTGGGCAAGACATCAAACCCCCCTGTTGCCCCCGATGGATCGGTTCTGTACTGGAAACAAATTCCTCGTGTGTAACATACTTGGCCAATAAAGGTGATTATCCTTATGTTCCCGCAGCATTCACCTATCTGCCAACTGTGGAGTGAGTAATCTTGACACTGTTTAATCACCCTACCTGCTATGGTGCGAGTGCCCCGACGCTGTGTTTATCTGCCTGTCATTTATGGAGTGAGACTGCCAGTTATGTGATGCACTTACCTGACTGCCAACTATATTGTGCACTTACCTTTGTGGCAGCTCTCCTCAGAATCAGAATCAGTTTATTGGCTAGGTGTGTTGGACACACGAGGAATTTGACTAAGGTACATCGGCTCTCAATGTGCAAACAGTAGACCAGCATAAGGCTGTGTAATATAACAAAATAGCAGTATTAACATCAACAACCAGTGCAAACAATGCAGAAAAAGCAGTATAAATAGACAGTAAACAATGCAGACAACAAGGAGTGAGTAATCTCATTGAAATGAGATAATTAGGGATAAAAATAGAATACTTAAAACAGAGTATTAGAGACCTGTACGAGTCTGTATAATCTGTACAATGTATATTTACAGGTATTGCACTGAGGGTTATTGTCCAATCATACTGTCATGGGTTAAGTGTTCATCAGAGTGACAGCCTGGGGGAAGAAAGTGTCCCTGTGCCTGGTTGTCTTAGTGCACAGTGACCTGTAACGCCATCCAGAGGGGAGGAGTTCAAACAGATTGTGTCCAGGGTGTGAGGGGTCTGCAATGATCCTCTCTGCCCTCCTTTTGACCTGTGAGGTG